ATATATATATACTGTATATATATATACTGTATATATATAGACTGTATATAAAATAAAAATTTGGTTTTCTGTTAAAAGTGTTAGAACAGCTCTGGTTGCTGTAAAAACATCTCATCCTGAATGGACTCAGACTCCGCCCCCTTGTCTCGTCCCGCAGCACCGTCCTGAACCGGGAGCTGGTGAACCCGGCCTCCATGAAGCAGGCTCTGATCGCCTCGGCCCGCAGGCTGCCCGGGGTCAACATGTTCGAGCAGGGCCACGGGAAACTGGACCTGATCAGAGCCTATCAGATCCTCAACAGCTACAGACCTCAGGCCAGGTAAAGGTGAAACCTGCAGAGAACAAACAGACGAGCTCATCCAGAACCGAAGGAGAGCGTTCTGATGACATCACAGCCCTGACTCAGGAGACAACAGAACCTGGATGCAGAAATAAACCCTCTGCTTTAAACTGACACACGTTTGGGATTATAAAGACTTTGTTTCCTAACGTAACCCGCCCTCGTCTTCTCGCAGCCTCTCTCCGAGCTACATCGACCTGACGGAGTGCCCCTACATGTGGCCGTACTGCTCCCAGCCCATCTACTACGGAGGGATGCCCACCATCGTCAACGTGACCATCCTGAACGGCATGGGCGTCACCGGCAGGATCGTGGATAAGGTGAGGGAGGGAAATGTTAGAGGCTGACTGAAGTTCAGGAGCAGAGAAGACCACGCAGGACTGCAAGGGAACGCTTAAGATTTTTACTGAAAAGGTTTATTAGCAAACTGTTAATGTGAGTTCAGTTTGAACCGCTGACTTTTGCTGAAAGTAGGAAAACAAAAGAAAAATTGGTAGAAAGATAGAAAAAAGTGTTAAAAAACTGAAATTAGCTAAAAAGTAGCTGAAAGCACAAAAAAACTAGAAATTAGCAGGAACACGTTAAAATGAACAGAAATGAAAATTTTCATTTAGCAAAACTTGAAAATTAGTACAAAAAAACTGTCAAATTTTAGTCTGAAATAGCTAAATTAGCTGTAATAGCTGAAATAAGAACAAAAAGAGCATTTTCTCAAATAAGCAGTAAGAAGTGAAAATTCTTACAGAAAGGGCAATTTAGTTGAAAAAAGCTGAAATTAGCTAAAAAGTAGCTAAAAACACAAAAACTGTTGAAATTAGCAGAAAACGTTAAAATAAACAGAAATAATAG